AAGTACTCTAAACTGTATAAATAATGTAAAATTAAATTGAATTTATTAGCCAATCAGACAAACTTCTGCCTATGAACGTAGGTACGTAGAATAATGTATATTATACAGATCGGTAAGCGAGAAAATAAATCTATTGTTACACTTCGAACGATTATTTTAATGTAATAATGAAATGCCCCAAAAACTTGTATTAAACATATCTATCAGTACAACGCAAGGATTATATTATTTGAAATACGTTTTCTCTCCAGAGGGTCTGTGTTGGCAGCAGATCAGGTGGCACTTGACGAAAATTCAGTGAATGTTAGAACACTGCCTCTTGGAGGGTACGCTTTAATATCACAGCATTCGTCCGGATCTATCATATATTTCAATTTTAGTCTTTACAATGAGAACAATCAACTATCTGATTTAAAATTTCCACTAAACCCTATTGTCTCAAACTCAACTGGCGCATTTGATATCTTGCAAAATAATATGATGCTAGTGGCGCAAAATGAATCATCTACCGCTTAGAATCTTATTTTAATCCAACTGCCGTTATTTTCCTTATATAATGGTAAATATTTTAGTTTAAATACTGAATATGTGTTTAAATAATAATATGCTGTATCTTCTAGATAGTGGGTATGGTAACATCCATGTTAAAGCAGCATATCCTCGAATAGGAAGTAATAAACTAGCAATAAATTACAACGAGATTAACATCACATTTCAGGACCCAGTTTCGCTTGCGAATGGCAATCTGTATATTTATCAAATGTCTAGTCAAGGCGATACTACACGTAGGGTTGTTGGTGCAGGTGGCATCGCCACTGGCGCAATGCTTTAAATGTATATATAACTTAATGGCGCAGCAGTGGTGCACCATTTGCACCACTAACCCTAACTACACGAGACAATGTCGTCACACTTTATGTATATGATTCCACTTTTAATGTGCCTGGTGAACAATATTATATACAAATGGATAATAATTTTGTCAAGAATTCAATATCTGATGAAGCCATTTTGGGAATTAATTCATATGTATGGACAGGTTTCTCATAATTACAAAAATTTAGTTATTTGCATTTGTTTATTTATAGCTGGTTAATATCGATTAAAATAAATAGTTGACATTAATATTAGTGAACGGTCAAGTAATATAATCTATATGTAAGATTAATCTCTATATACATAATACAGGGGATCACTACGATTATCAATGTATGAACTAAGTATTTTTCTTGCATTGAATGATTCGGAAAAAACTGTCTTTTTTACCGAATTAATAAATGAACTCAGTTATAATTCCTGCAGAGAGTGGTAGATTGAACACAAATAAGCATTATCAGCTTTATCAATCACATGTTTTGATTTCACTTTCTATTGGTCAGAAAAAAAGTGGCGAAAAATTGTCTAGCACACAGTTGGCGAACAATTTAGACCAATTAATAAGGGATAATGCATCTACAGGTATATCAACGGGACTTAGGACAAAATATTTAGACCATAATTATGGAATTCAATTAATACATAAGAACCCAATTTTATATTTTTATTGTGGATTTAATACAATTTATTTTACATAATTGTTTCTCTTCAATAGAGACAATAGAGGATTTGTTTGAATTATATCATTTTGCAATTGGAGTTTTCCCTACTTTGTTTTTTTACCTCCTTTATGTTTCTTCTTATTTATTCTAAAATTGTTTCACATTTTTTCACACCGAGGTATTATTTAAATACAGTAAAAAATCACGGCTGGTGCTGAAACTCAGGTCTTTATTCGAAATATTAAATCTTTCATGCTCTTATTAAAAATTTTTAAAATTTCATATCAAAACTAAAGGTTCAAATTTCTGGGCCAGCCAATTTCAGTATCAGTGATGACAATGAATATTAATCATACTATTTATTTACAATTAGTATAATATTTTTAGTTTCATCTAATCAATTGTTATACAGTCTTATAGATATTTCATTATAATATACTTTAAACATTAAACTCTTGACATTATTTCAAATACTATAATCAATTTATATAATCAAATTAAATTATTGAATAGTATAACTATTCACAGCATACCAGATCTATTCTCAATCTTTTTAGCTTTAATGAGTCTAATACCAAATGAACTTATTGACATTATTACAAATCTGTCATCCAAAAAAATAGTTATAACACTTGTTAACAAATTTTTATTTTATCTTAACCAACAAATTTATCATAAAAGTTGGATTTCATATTGTATCTCAAAATTTACAGTTTAAACTTCTGAATATAACACATCTTCAAATGTTATTTTACTTATATCACATTCTCTTTTATTTAATTCTATTAGTTCAAAAATAAACTTTTGATATATCTAATAGATTAAATATTAAACTAATCCTTTATATATAATTACTAACACTTAAATCTAGGTGAGTTTTGATTATTCTGGTTGATTTAAATTACAGATAAATTAGTCTGAGCTTCTATTCTTTCTATAATATTTTAAAAACAGAATTGTATTTTATGTAAAATCTTAATTAAATTTTAATAAAGATAGAGACATAACCTTATTATTAATATAAAAAAATATATATATATATAATATTTTTAGTATTTCTCATACTATTAAACTTAATTTTGGTATTTGAAATATTATTTTTAGAGTAGGATGATGGATTTAAAGAATGGCTTTCAATATATAATAAACTTGCTTGTTTTTTTATATTGTTATCTGACACAAATATTAAAATACTATTAACATTAAAGTTATATTTAATAATGAGTAAATTTTTCAATTTTCTATTATCTGATCAGTTGATAAAAGTTATTTTTTGAGGATCTTGTGTTAATTTATTTCTAACAGATATATCTGAATTTATTATTTTTTTTTTTTTTTAAATATTAAGATGAGTACTTGCGACCCAGGATTTTATTGATAGTACATTTAGCTAATGATTACATTACAACCACAGAGGGCAACCATGAAAAGAGTGTACAACTAGCCACTCATACAACTTTAGTCATTGTCTAATTTAAGTAGTCCGCCTGAA